CATAATTCATTGTGGGAAGTGACGGTTATTTATTGAATTACAAGTGAACTTCTTTATCTGTAACAGAAAACCTTAAAAATTTTTTGACATTCCTCGAAGAACTTAGTACTCCAGAAGGAAAATGGCAGTGGAAAGTCCATTGTAAATTTCAGAAAAAACTAAAGGAATTAGGAAGGTAAGATTTGGAAAATAACTATATGATTGCTGTTAACATTGTTCTCACAGTCTGTTTTTCCCTGGTAGACCATGAATGCAGCTGAATTTGCACAGATGTCTTTAGACACTCCTTCAAAATGATCCTATTAGTTATTCTGGCCTTGTACTGGAGTAGTATTCTTGAGGAGGAGTATTTTTGCTTAGGGAGAAGCTTCGTGATGCTATAGTTATGTGTATAGGCAATGCTGGTTTAATCCTTGAGATTTAGGAGTTTAGAATAATTATCAAAATGAAATGGTTGGCACTCTTCATTTATTTATGGAACCCTGTATGCCTACTTTTCCCATCAAAAGGCTACCTAAGGCAGCTAATCTACAAAATTCAGACATACATCTGCTCCTCATTTACCGATTATCTTGTGACCTGATATTTCTCATTTATGGCTATAGTATAAAAATTCCATGACATTTTGTGCAGTAACAGCATAAGTTTGGCAGTAACAAACGCTGAGTTAGTTGCAAGGCATGAGTAATGCTAGTGAAAGCTGTGGGTCAACTCTGCTAAACCATGATTTCTCTGGTTTGGCAATAACGATGTATTTTGGCAGTTACGTAACAATGTAGCCATCTGCCATTTTCACACAGTACCAATTTGCACACATTGACTTGGTTTTTGGAAACTGTGTCAATCAGCAAAGAGTGTGTATTTTGGGACAAGAATTAACCTTCACCTGATTAAAGAGATTTGCAATTAGGATATTGTTTATCTTTGTCATGTGAAGTAGTGCCGAAGGTGTAACTTGTCCAGTTACTTAGTTCCCTCATGGTCCTGACAATAACTAGTGGTTTCTGCTTCCCACTGCTACATGGCTTAAGGTATACAAAAAGCTTAGAGCATGTATTGCATCTTTTGAAAGATTGATACTTTATTGTTCATTCATGTCCTACATTATAAACTAAGTTAGCAAAGCAAAAGATGATTATTACATAGTAAGGAAAAATGACAAGAGTAACATGGGCCCGTAGAAAGTTCTTGGAATCACATTTCCTACTCTCACTGTCTCAAGCAGCTTGCTTCAGGCAGTGAGCTAAATAATGCAGTTGTCATTGTTGTTAAGTGCCATTGAATTGGTTCTGACTCATAATGAACCTGTATGGGATTTTCAAGGAGTGGCTGGTGGGTTTGAACCAGTGATCTTGCAGTTAGTAGTCTAGTGCTTATCCTACAAGGATAGTAGGCCTCCAGCAATTGTTACCTCATTAGCTACCTAAATTAAGAAATTACAGTTTTAGCAAAAATTTCCATTCTATAATTTAGAAATGCAGATAAATACTAAACTGCTCCATTTCACAGATTGAATGCTAAAGCTCTAAGTCTGTTGACACTTCTAAATGTCTATCAGAAGAAACATCTGGTTGAAATTTTATCATATCATAATTGTGATTCACAAACTCGAAATGCCCCTGAATTGGATTGCCTTATCAGACTTCAAGCGCAGAACATACAACAACGACACGTAGTCTTTTTAACAGGTAAAGAATGCTCTTAAAATTTATATGAATCCAGGGATGTAGAGGAAAGGATTTTGTGGGGCTATGGTAAGTGTTATTAAGTTTTTTTTGTTAAGTTCCATCGAGTTGATTCTGATTCTTAGCAACAGGGTTTCCAAGGAGCAGTGGGTAGACTAAATCACCAGTCTTAATGGTTCAGTCCAGTGCTATTCCCACAGGTTATATAAGCTATGGTACTGAAAATGGGGGAAAAGAGATTTTTTGAGGACTGGATTTGTCCATGTATATTTTCAAGTATTTTAACTTGAAACTTTTTTCTGTTGGTTTAGAGAAAAACATCAAGATGCCTTCTAATTACACAGATAATGGGATAGTGGTTGCAACAACTGAAGACTTTATGCAAAACTTTAAAAGTCTTGTGGGTTATCACAACTCAGAAACAGAAGAAAACCTTCCTCTGCTTGGTGCTAATGAGAATCTTGAGTCACAGTCAGGTAACTTTTCAATAGTTTTCGTTTTCTTTAAGGCAGGCAGAAAAAGAGGACCGGTTTTGCTCTTGGTAGCAACAAATAAGGAAATATGCATAGTTTTTAAAACAGTCAACTTTAGGGAAAGTGTTACAAGGCATTTAGCATTCTGATACTTAGGATGCGCAAAACTTGTCCATTTATTTGACTGTAGTAACTTCTCAATTTGTATTGACAAGACAATGCATTTCTGTGTATACTACAGACATGCATATAATAAGTATGAAAGCTATTACTGGCAGCTTTTATTAGCAAAGGGGTTGTATTAAGAAGAAAGTAGGAAACCAGACATAGGGATTAAGCATTGGGCTGCTAACATCATTCTCCCCATAAGTGTAAAACAGTTTATTTATAAGGCAGTACGGGTATCCATAGCTTTAGTCTCTTATGAGATGGCCTCTTGCTTTGGCTCCGGGTTTGTTTAAAATGAGAGATGTACTTTTGTTTTTTGAGGGAAAGCAGATTTAATCAAACATTTGGTAGAGCTAACCAGCTTAGTAAGCAATCCAGTGAAGCTAGATGTCAAAAAAAATTTTTTTTTTTTTTATATTTCTTTTGTCAAATACTGAATTACCGTATAACTTTAGATGCTGTTTTGACATTAACCCCTTTGGAGCTGGGAGTTGGGATTTCCCTACATTAAACGTGAACACATTTCGCAGAAGCTTTTAGCATCGGATTATCTGGACATTCACACCTAGTGTGAGTGTTGTGACTAAGTGAACTTGTGGCAGAAGATCAAGCTTTAAGGGATTGTGGACTTGCAGACCCTGACGCATTATATTGTGTGAGTAGTGTATGATTTTAAAACTTAAGCAAATTGTGTATTTCAATAGAGGAGGACTTTTTGTTTTTTTAAATGTAGCTCTTTTAGAAAGCGATGAAAAGGATGAAGAGGATATGTCTCTGGATTCAGGGGATGAAATCTCACAAATAGAAGTATGCAGCAATTTTCATTCAGAAATATTGGCGAAAGAGACCAAAGGATCACGTGGAACAGATCATAAAAAGAATTTTCATATTGAGTTGCAGTCGTCTCTTGACATACAAAAAAGTTTATTAGAAGATAAGACTTATCAAATTGATTTTGAAGAGCAAGCTTCTATTGATAGAACATGCTTAGAAGAAGAGAACAGTTCAGCAGAACGAGATTTGTATAGCAACTTGCAATTAAACATGTCCCATCAGTTTAGTCATTTTAATGTTCTTACTCATCAGACATTTTTGGGGACACCATATACCCTTCCAAGTCAATCTCAAGAAAGTGAAAATTACTTTTTATCTGCTTATATTCAAAGCTTGGATAGAGACAAATCTCCATCTCCATTTAAGTTGGGAAAAAAATGATTCTTCCAGGCCATATTTAGAGGAGAATTATAGGAGCTTTTTTAAAAAAACGTTTGTTTGTGGACTTTTTCTGTTTCTTAAAGTGAATTAACAGTTTATATATTCATTCTCTAAGCAAAAGGTTTCTTGTCCTTTCTTAATTTTTTCTCTTATTTAAATCATGATGGCCTGTAACAGTTGAAGCATCTGAAAATTGAAATAAATATATATATATTTTTAACATATATTGTTACTTGAATTATCTCATGGCACTTTTAAGTTTTACATTTGTCTGTCACTTGTGCTTGGGCTTCAAACTGAAGCCTGTTTTATATGTAAAACGAGGCTTTCACAGGAAGGATGGTAAACATAAATGGCTTTACTTTTCTTCTGATGTAATGTTAGATGATATAAACTACTTTTGCTGAAATGAATTATCAACTATTTATTTTGATTTACACTTTTGTATAATGTTTTTAAACAGGTACAAGCCAGTGATGCTAAGTAAATATTTATAGGATTTTGGCTCAGTACCAAGATTTATCTCAGAATGCAGTTTCATTTAGACAAACCGTGTATAGCAAGCAGCACTATTGTTTCTCTTTAGGCTTAGCCATGTAAAATTACCTGCCTGTTACTAAAACGTCCGCTTTTTATTTGAGAGTATTTGATGATTATAATTTTTAGTGCTTGTGTGGTCCTTGATTTAACCAGATTCAGTTTCATCTTTTAAATAAATAGGCTTCTGTTATTTAAAGGCATTAAACAATTTGGGGAAAAACAACTTAGCTATAGATTTTAAACTGGGGTAGTCTTAGAATAGAAGTATATTTTTGACATGATATTTAGTTGAATCAATTACCATTTATTATAGGCACTTAGGTGCTAAAGTGCTATATTGAAAATCACTGTAAATGCACAGCTAAAGTACATGATGGTGGGTATAGGTGTCAAACCCACATCTGTTGTTAATGACTTTCCGTGCATTACTGATATTGATTTGTAAATGTATTTTGAAAAAATAGCATTTAGAAAATTTTAGAAATTCCTGAATGGAATTTGAATTATTTTGGGAAAAACAGTCTGGATGTGTTACATCAGATAGAACTTTGGTGCCTCAAAATGATTTGTGAAAGAGTTCTACTCTTTTTAATCTTGTTGATAAAGCAAAATACAGGAGTGGTATTTTTGTGGCAGAATGTGGTTTACAGCTCAGAGACTCCAGACTATATCACGGTAAGTAGAAAGTTTTTATATGATTTAAATGACCAGGTTGTTAACCACCACCCCCCCCCTAAAAAAAAAAAAAAGGTTATTTTAAACTATTAAACTTTTACAAAAGTCTGTGTTTTTATTATATAAAAAGATATACAGCATTTTACTACATGATGTACAAGTTTTTAATGAACATAAAAGTTAAGCTATTTGAAAATTAAAATTTGGAAGACAAAGCAAATGTGAAGGATTTGGTTTTCTGTATTTAAAATGAAGAACTAAAATTCTCTTCTTGATTTGCAGCTAAAGGCATGAGATTAGTTTCCAATTCCTTTTGCTTCTGGAGAAGGCCCTGAAATCACATTAATAAGTTGTTAATAAGGTGTGCAAATGTAGACTTGCAAAGTAATTCCTAATATTCCGGTCCTGTGAATCCATAATTATTATACTTACTTTGAAAACATTATTAAGCCCAGGATAGAATTATGTTACTTGGCCATAGTTGCAAAGTTTTAATCTTTGTCTTGTTGGATTTCGCTGACTCTTACTCAGTAGTTCCTCACTTGGATAAAGATATCTAATACATATTTGTAATATTAGTACAATTTTAGCATAAAACCAAGTCTCCCTCACTGTGGAGCTAGAATTGAGATGCCATCTCCCCCTCAAAATGCTCTGAAAATGGTGAGTCTCCATAAGACAAGTGTTTATCTTGACTGCCTCTTATCTTAGCAGCCTTTACAAGGCCCTGCTGAAGGAGAATGTAGACACTTAGTCGCACATGCTATCTTCATTTAAGCTAGGAAGTAAACAGTTATGTGAAGAAGCACTGTACTTGCTGGTGCAGTGGTTAAACTCTTGGCTATTTACTGAAGGGCTGATTGTTTGAACTCAGGTGGCAGTGTGCATCTGTAAAAATGACAGACTTAGAAACGTAAGTGGCAGTTGTACTGTCCTGTAGGATCAGTATGAGTTGGAATTGACTCTACAGCAGTGTGTTATTACATGGAGCTGGCATTTCAAAAATGAGAATATCAAAAGGAGGTGAGCTTCTAGCTCTATAGTGAGGAAGACTGAGTAAGTAACATTTGAACCAACCAGAAATGTGAAATGCAAGGGTGGTGGGGATCGGGAATGACTGGATATGAAAAAGGGTGCCCCTAAATTACAGCTTATTTTCTCCCAAATAGGAAACAAAAATTGCAACGAACCAAAATTAGCTGCACAACCAATTTAACAAACCTTTTTTTTAGAGCTAAGGAGAGGTTATATTAACCTGAAATAGTGGATGTTACCCAATTTTATTTTCACCTGTATAATAAAAGCACAATAATAAGACAATAAATTATTGGTTTTGGAGAAAATGAGGGAATGCAGTTTGGTTAGTAAAGGCGTCCTGGTGGCACAGTGGCTTTAGCACTGGGCTGCTAACCAAAAGGCTGGTGGTTCGCGTCTACTAACAGCTCTGCAGGAGAACGATGTGGCAGTCTGCGTCTGTAAAGATTACAGGCATGGGGAACCTTACGGGGCCGTTCTACTCTTGTCTTGTAGGGTTGCTTTTAATTTTGTTCTTTTGCATCAGATTACATTTTACTTTTTTAGAGTAGCATGAATGCTGTTCTGAACACTGCCAACACATTCATTTTTTTAAAATTTAGAATGTGAGCCACAATGCATAGAATTTCAGCATTAATTTGGGAGTAGGTGGGTGTTAAGGGGAGCTTTTGGTGTTTTTTAAGGGCCTTATCGATAATGTTTTATCATTCAATTGTATGTATTTTTCATTCAATAAAATTGTCTTAATATTTGAATGGTCTCATGATTTCATACTGAAAAGTTCCTTTTAAAGGTACCCTTGTGAAGGCAGAATCCAAGGCATGAATGTAGTTCCACTGTACTCCCATTCAAGATTCACATCAACAGTGGAAACAACTAGACACTTGAAATGTCTGGACAATATTATCTTCCTACGTGTATGTATGTATATATATATAAAAGTCATATACACTTGGTGGAAAAGTTCATACCTGTCTCAATTCTGACAGTCCCTTAAGGATTGCTTGCTGTCGATCCCTGTTTTTCACCAAGTTAGGATTAAGAAGTGGATCCCTGACATAGCCACATTCAAGCAATTGCTGTTCTTGGTCACAGTCTGAAGCCAGATAAATCGTTAAAAGAGTCAAATACATTTCTGATAACATAGCTATAAACCACATAATGGAGTTCTGGTATGGCACTGTAGGGGTAAACATTGGACCGCAAGGTTAGCAGTTCAAGCTCAACAGTGACTCCTCTGTGTATTGAGTCCCTATGAGTTGGAACTGACTTTATGGGGCTTAACAACAAACCACATGGTAAGAGTTCTGGTGCCACAGTAAGTTATGCAGTTGGGCTGCTAAAGGTTAAGGTCAGCAGTTCAAATTCACCAGTCGCTTCTTGGGAGAAAGGTGCTTTCTGCTCTTGTGAAGATCTGCAGCCTTGGAAACCTGAACCAACTAGGTGGCACACAACCACCATTACACCAAACCACAGTAGTGTATTCATTAATAAAATGGTATTCTAGAGCTATACAATGAGAAATTTAGTAATGGACTGTAAGAAAAATTATACTTTTCATACCTTAATAGCCTGGGCATAACTCTGGTGGTGGTGGTTATGTGCCTTGGAGTTGGTTCGACTCATAGCGACCCTGTACTTTTTTTCCCCCCGAGGTTGTAAATCTTTACGGGAGCAGAACGCCTCACCTTTCTCCCACAGAACAGCTGGTAGTTTCAAACTGCTGTTCAAACCAGATATTAAAACTAAAGGCTGAAATCATGGTTTGGATTTTGAATTTAGGGTTAGGGTTCAATTTCTACAATAATGCTTGTATTTACTTACCATGTGAATTCTGGTGTTGAGGGTCCTGGGTTGAAGGTCTGGACAATGGTGCATCTGGATCCAGGTAATAGACCTCATTAGTTCGGACATAGGGAATAAAATGAGTTGGTTCAGAAATCCCAAGTGATGGCTCTCTTTGTGATTGAGGTCTACTATAAAAAAAAAAAAAAAATTAATAGATTAAGAAGCAAATACAAAATTGTGCATTTTAGGGTATGCTTATCAATCACATTTCAGTTTATTCTCAATGTACCCATAATCCTTTTAAGAACACTATATAATGATCACCTTTTTGTAAAATTAACAAAGTAGGATTAACGTCAGTGTTTACTAGAACTAGCTGCTTCTATAAAGATTACATGTATACTAGTATAAGGGAAAATTAAGTTATAGTTGATTCTCATTCAGATTGCTTATTTGCAAATTTGTCTGCTCTATCAAATTTATTTGTATCTACAAAATCAAAACAAAAAGCCCAGAGCAGTGAAAACTGTGAGTTGCTCCACACCCATGTTCCCAGCTGAGGTCAAACAACTTGACAGTCGACCTTTGTTTCAGCTCTGAAGTCTATAAATAAGTGTTCTCTTAGTGCCACTTTTTTTTGGGTTGTGTTGGCAACTTTGCTGTTTAAAATGGGCCCCAACTTTAGTGTCTAAATGCCGTATCACCTTAGTTCAGTGATCATGAACTAAGAATATATATTAATGTCTTTAAATAAAAACACATAGCAAGGTTTATTGATCACTGAATGAAATAATTGTGACTGGAGGCTTTCTAGGAACCTTGTCTTTCTCCTAGAAGCAATGGTTCAGTGTTTACTGCAGCTTTACAGAACATAACTATCTCTAATAAAGGGAGCCAACTGCATGAAATCCTGAGGCTCAATGCCTGGGTTCATCTGAACCGATGAGTCAGAACTCACTGAATGGCACCTAACTGCAGTGCTCATCCTTAGGTATTCAGCATGAAGTCATAGACCTGTAACTATTTGAACTAAATTGTCTATTAAACAGCTCCATTCTGAGACAACTCTAGCTAGTGCAACCACAAAGAAAAATAAAAATTCTAGCAGTTGTGAATATGCTGTTGGTTTTTTTGAATTTTTTTATTTTGATCTCCATGTGATGTTCAAATCTTCCACTGATTAACTGAATTTGTCTTTGTCCTTAATCAATGTTTTAGTGTCCCCATAATCCAAGTAGAATGCTGATTCCACTGTTCACATACCAAGAAAACTAAAACACTTAGCACTGAGCCTAGAGATAATAGTAAAGGTCACTCATGTTCCTATCTGAGTTGCCTAGGCCCAGACCTACTTGGGGCTTCCCACTCAGTTGCCATTAAAGTCAACTCTTCAAGCTCCAGCTAAAACGCTACTGCTCACATGAAGTCACACCTTGCCCATTCCTTGCTATCTTTATATACATATATGCCAGATCTCGTCTAGATTTTGAGCTGATGTTTGGTGCCTCTTGTCTCAGAAAACATTCAATGACAATGAAATCAGTCTCATCAGTAACATACCTTTCTTTGCTGAAAGAATTAGTTTTTGGAGGCTCTTCTTCCTAAAAAATGGATTGATAAATGCAGATAAGGATTAGCTTTTCCCTATGCCCCCCCTCACTATTTTCAGTGACTATTTGATGAAATAATCTGAAGTAATTATTTGAGTAACAAGGAAGATTTAGTCATTTTCTAGAGTCAATAGAAATCCACAAATTCCTGATTATACGAATTTTCCACTGTCTTTATCTGGAATATGGAGTCCTGGTGTGGTGCTATGGGTTAATGCTCTGACTTCAAAGTTGGTTTGAACGTAAGGTCGGTGGTTCCAGCTCACCAGACGCTCCTAGGACACCCTGTTAGAAGGTTACTGTATTTCGGAACTGACTTGACAACAACAACCATCTGGAATATAGTGAGTCCTGGTGTGGTGCTGCAGGATAATGTGCTGTATTGCAAGGTCAGTTTGAATCATAAGGTTGGCAGTTCAGACCCACCTAACACTCCTCAGAAATCCTATACAGGGCCACTATGGATCGGAATCGACTCAATAGCACTTAACAATAGCATCTGGAACATACGTTTGAATAGAGGCACATTCACTAAGCGTAAACTTACATGAAAGATCAGATTAAACATATTTTGGCTTTGCTCTGTTCTCATAAAGCTTTACTTACAAAATCAGGTAGCCAACTAATTAGCCTCTGGGCTATATAGTCTGCCAACCATTGGTATGATGTAAACCGTATTTCTATAGTTCATTTTTAGTACACGCGGAAGTGTTTTAAACTTAGACATATGCTTGAAAATAAAATACCAAAGTCAAAATAACTTTACCTTTTTGATTAGATGCCACCTGCACCTTGAATCCAATTCTTGATGTGATGCAGGAAGAGCTTCTGGCGAAGTGCCTCTGTTTTGAGAGAAGTGTCCAGGATTGTTTCTTTCCACCAGCTGAAGCAGTTCCATCTGCCGCCTTACTTTTTTTTCTTCTCTTTGCTTTTGAAGCTGTTTAGGGTACTTTTCTGATGCTGTAACATACTTCTTCAGTGGCTTATTTGTATTCCAATCAGGCCCTCTATGACATTTCTTCAAAAGTTTTATTTGTTTCTCTGTTCTTGTGAACAAATTACAGTGGTCATTATGCCAACTGTTTTCTTTTTCTAAGTTAGCTCCTTTATCTTGACTTGATTCATGCTTGGTTTTCTTAGCATTTAATTCTGGAGAAATCTCAGGAGATGAACAATCTATAATTTCCCCCTCAGTTACTGATCCACAGTATGATTCTGCATTGAACATTTCTGTATTTAAGTCATCTTTAAAAAAGAAAATTGCAGATGATACAGTCTTAGTATCACATTATATGATTTTAATTTTTTTTTTTAAGGAAAAAAGTTGCCACAACATTGTTTCAGCTTAAACTTAAAATTATACAAACTGTCCTATCTAGTGTCATCTTGTTAAAGCACGCGAGAGTAAGCCCAAAAGTATGGCCACTATGAGTCCAACTCACACATGCAAGGGTTTATTCCACATCTCATCAACAGATGGCTGCAGAAAGTTTTCTCAGTAACATACGTCTTAAGTCTCGTGAGAGTGCCGCCAAAAAGAAACGGTCCAATCAAAACTGGTTTTAAGAGCGCATCAACACACAAAAAGTTACGGCAAATGTGTTTTGGGATTTTGGTGGGATAATCTTGATTTTCTTGAAGGACACAGGATGAACATGGGGGTTTGTGATGGATAAGATTTGAGTCAATTTAACTGGGCCAGTATTCACAGCAGTTTGGCAGTTGAAATGTGGTTATCCCCCATGGTGATAATCTAGTACAGTGTAGTTAACTCTTAGATCGACTATAAGCAGGTGTAGTTAACTGTGACGATTGGCTATGGGAAGGTGTAGTTAATTCTATGATGATTGGCTATGAGCAACCAATGAATTGAAAGGATGTTTCTTCAGGGGTGTGCCCTGCTTCCAATATTGGACGCAAGCAAAGTTTGTGTTTCTGCTGGGTCTGAATTTTACTTCTGGTTCAATCTCCAACTTCCAGTTCTTTGAACCTGAGCCTGTGGTCTGCTGTATTACCTGTCAATCCTGGGAGCCATAAGCAGCCTGCCTTCTTACCTAATGGACCTGCCTGGCTAGTGATCTTGGTTCATCTGACCCAGACTTGGGACTCGCCCGCCTCTACAATTGTGAGCTGTTTGATAAAAAGATCTATTTTTATACATTCATATATAAGTTTTTACTGGTTTTTCTTTTTTAGAGAACCCAGCCCTAGACAGAGCTTATTAATGTTACAGGAAACTGAAAGTTGCTTCCTGTAAAGAAAAAGGCAAAGAAATTTGTGCCGAGGAATTTTTCCCCATCACAAAGCACCTGCTCATTCTTTAAGGATAGTAGGAGCTGTCTTTACGGAATTTCCTTGGGAAACCTTATCCTATTCACCCGATAGCCTTCATTTTGTCCCTTCAGACATCTTTTTGTTCTCCAAAGCCAAAGAACATTAGAAAGAAAGACAAAAATTGGAGTCTCTCAAGAATTCCAAAACTGCTGTGTTGACATGGTATTTAAATTGAAGAGTACAGAATTCTTCGGGGAGGGGTTGTTAAGTGCCATCAAGTCAGTCCCGACTCTGCAGGAGCAGAAAGTCTCGTCTTTTTAAAAAGATGAAAACACTATCCTCTGAAGTCGATATGCCTAGGTAAGAGGGTTTGTTGAGAAATAACAACTTCACGTTTTGATGTCTTTGTTTTAATGAAGGTTTCTGATTTTGGAGCAATACTTTTTGACTTGCCCTCATTTATTTCTGAGAAAAGTCTAATTTACATTTTTCTATTAAGTAGCTCACAACATTTTTTTATAAGCTCTTTGGGGATCCTTGAAACTTCAAGTGGTGTTACTTTGGTGTGAAACTGTTGTTGTTAAGTGCCATCGTATCAGTTATAAATATGAAAAGATCTAGAAAATGCCCTTTAGTTATTCATTTTTACCTCAGGCACTGGATGAATGTTTTTGTCTAACTTTTCTCCCACATTTTTAGGTAAGGAGTCCTGGGGTGGGGCTGTGGGTTAATGTACTGGACTACAAAGTCAGTTTGAGCTTCAGGTTGGAGGTTCAAGCTCACCAACCACTCCTCGGGAACCCTATATAGGGTCGCTATGGTTTGGATCCGACTTAACGGCACTTCAAAACAAGAAGCTAAAGATAGTCAATCTAAGTCCTTATCTCTGAACCTTAAACTAAGATCCAGATTTTGCTCTGCAAACCACCCTTGGTCACAATCTTCACTTTTTTTCCATAGTAAAAACAGGAAAGAAAAAAAAAATCACTTATATTTCCTTAATAATAATTTTAAGGTCCTTATGGTGTCCTGGTAGCGTAGTGGTTACGAATCGGGCTGCGAACCTTAAGGTCAGCGGTTCGAAACTACCAGCTGCACCGCAGGAGAAAGATGAGGCTTTCTACTCCCGTAAAGATTTACACCCTCGGAAACCCTATACAGGGTCGCTATGGGTCGGAAATGACTCGATGGCACATAACAACAACAACAACATGGTGTCCTGGTGTGGCACTGTGGGCTAATGCATCAGACTGCAAAGTTGTTTTAACTGCAAGGTCGGTGGTTCAAGCTCACCAGCTGCTCCTTGGAAACCCTATACAGGGTTGCTATGGGTCAGAATCGAACTGACAGCACTTAACAACAACAATGAAGTGCTAGGGTGGTGCTGAAGGGTAATGGACTATATAGCAAAGAGGGGTTTAAACTTCAATGTTGGTGGTTCATACCCACCAGCTGCTCCTCTGAAACCCTAGACAGGATTTCTGTTTCTGTGGGTAAAGCAATTCAAAGGCACTTAACAGAAACAATTAGAAGGCCCAGTGATACGACTAACTATCACAGCTATATACATAGCTGCATAACATTACAAAAGCTCTCTTTCACAGAGATGATTAACCTTTGAAATAACATAATTCGGTACTGAAAAACAAAGGGCTGGGATTCACATTTGGAAAAAAATCAGAGCCATTGCAGATCTCCTGGTGTGGCTCTATGGGATCAGCACTGGACTGTAAACCACAAGCCCGGCAGTTCAGACTCAATGAACCAGTCCTCAGAAACTCTATACAAGGTCACTGAGTCAGAACCAACTAGAAGGCACTTAACAACATTAGGATTAATTCAATGGCAGCCCCAGCCTGAATAACGCACCTGAAAGGGTTGATTCCTGTAAATATCTGAGGTAAATTGTTAAGTGTCACCTAGTCGATTCGGACTCATAGTGACCCTGTACAGGATTTCCAAGGAGTGGCTGGTGGGTTTGAACTGGCGACCTTAATATTCAAAATGTCCTTGAGGTCCAGTATGTTACCCCACAGCACTGCACCAGGACTCCCTGTAAGGCTACTAATCATCACTTTCATACTGGTTAATTTCTTCATGCCACTCCAGAGTTACTTTGCACCCTCCTCTACCCTGTGCTCTGGACCACAATATGGAATTCTGTTGGGCTTTGCTTTTGTCACGAGGGTTCCCAGGCAGACTATAAGGACGGAAGAGTGAGATCAGAGCACTTTACTCCCCTGGCTGGCTCACTTCCCTGTTAGGTTCAACATCATTAGCGAAACGCAAATGTAAACCACATCAAGATAATATTTTGTACACACAACATAAAACTAGTTTGTGATGATTTTGATGATGACCCATGTATGCGGAATCAGTGTTAATGCCGTCGATTCGATTCCAACCCATAGTGACCCTGCGTAGGGTTTCCGAGAAGCAGCTGGTGAGTTTGAACTGCCGACCTTGCAGTTCAAAAGGCTTTGCAGTCTGGTGCATTAACCCACAGCATCACACCAGGACTCCTGTATGCAGAATGGACCAGAGCTAAACAGGTTTTTTAAGGCTGTGACCTTTTTCCTGAGGCACCTCTGGGTGGTTACAATTGCCAATCTTCTGGTTAATAGTTGAGTGCTTTCGCATTTATACCACACCCAGGGACTGCTTTTCACACACATTGGTTGTTGGTGGTTGTATGCCTGGTGGTAGTTGTATGCAGTTGAGTCATTTCCGACTCATAGTGACCCTGTATAGAGTTTCCGAGGCTTTAAATCTTCGCGGGAACAGAAAGACCCAGCTTTCTCCTGTGGAGTGTTTGGTACATTTGAACTGTTGACACCTTGTGATTAACAGCCCAACTCATAACCCACTATGCTACCAGGGCTAGGATGGCTATAGTATAAAAGGCAAGCTATAACAAATGTTGGCAAGAATGTGGAGAAACTAGAAACTTCAGGCCCTGCTGGTAATATAAAATGGTGCAAACAGTTTGGCAGTTCCTCAGAATGTTAAACAGGTTCTCCATGACACAGCTATTTCACTCCTACATGTATACCCAAGAGAAATAACATGTCTACACAAAAATTGGTGTGTGACTATTCAGAGCAACTTAATAATAGCATAATGTGGAAGTAACCTGATATCCATTAATTGATGAATGGATAAAAGAAAATATGGTACTCTGAAACAATGGAATATTTGGCAGTAAAAAAACTGAATTACTGATACACGGCTATACCAGAAATGATCCTTAAAGCCTTATTTCTAAGTGAAAATAGAGAGTCACAAAAGACCACATACAGTATAGTTTCAATTATATGAAGTCTTCAAATAAAGCCTTTCTGTAGACATAGAGGAGTCCAGGTGTGGAGCTGTAGAATCAGTACTGGAATGCTAACCATCAAGCGGGCTGTTCAAACCCACCAGCTCCTCCTTGGAAGTTCCAATGGGCGCTATGAATTGGAACTGACTCGATGGCACCCAACAACAACAACACAGAGATAGAAAGTCAATTAGCAGTTGCCCATGTCTGGAGGGGTTGGAGAAATAGGGAATGACTACTAATGGGCATAAGGTTTCATCTTGGGGTGATTAAAATGTTGTAAAATTAACTGATAATGTTTGCATAAATTTGAATACACTTAAACCTGTTGCGTTGTACACTTTAAAAAGGTGAGTTTTATGATCTTTGAATTAGATCTGAATCAAGTTGTTAAAAAACAAACACATGGTATCAGAGCCCATTAATTTCTAACTTACTCATACTTAAAAACCTCAAATTCCTTTCATTTTTTAAACTTTAAATGCATTGAAGTTAATTCTAATTATTTTAATTAAGTGACTTTATTTTTAAATTTAAATCACAAATTCTAAAGAAATACCTGTTTGCACACCAGTATCCTTCTTGGGAGAAGCTGTATAATTGATAGATGTATTCATCTTACCACCGGCTTCATCATAGCTATGTCTTGAATTTGAAATGCTGTTAGTGGATGCATTATATTCCATTTGTAGCATCTCAATTGGCAAGAAATTATCTAATAAAATGACAATTCAAGAATATTAACAAATTACATGGAGCCGAAACTAAACACTCAGCAAGACTTTTATTCAGTATGAACACTGCAGTATAACTGTAGAAGGGTTAGCCTAAATTTTCTTTGAAAGCCCACTGCTGTTGATTCAATTCCAAGAACTCATAGCGATCCTACAAGACAGAGCAGAACTGCCCTATAAGGGTTGCAAAGCTGTCATCTTCATAGAAGAACATTGCCACATTTTTATCTCCTGTGGAGTGGCTGCTGGTTTGAATGCTGAGTCCTTAACCACTGGGCCGCTGGGGCTCCCACAAAAGCTTACTTATATTGTATCCCTTACTGAATTTAGGAAGATCAATTATTTTGGGGAACACTGCCGGAAAATGAGCCCCTCAGGGTGGAAGGCACTCAAAATGTGACTGGGAAAGAGCTGCCTCCTCAAAGTACAGTGGACTGTGATGATGCGAATAGAGTAAAGCC